AGTACCTCGACTTTTCATACCATTCTTTCCTGTCTTTTGTATGTCTCATCTTTTTTATTAAAAACTTTACACATTTTTGATAATATGTTATAGAAACTTTCAATCTGTATTTTCCCCCCAAGGAGGGTAGTGACGTTGGCTAGTTGATCTTATAGCAATTTGCCTGGACTTAATCTGTGGAATCTGTCTTCCTTTGTACATGCTGATGTGTGTGCTCAGTCTTGGTAAATTTTTTGCTGCTAATTTTATTATATAGACCATTTTCCTAAGGTTTGCACCTGTATCTACATAGCTTACTGGTCAAACAATGATAGGACAGAAGTTGTGCTCAGAACTCCTCAAGGCAGTAAGGCTTCCATATTCTAATGGTCCACATGTGTGTTGACTGGTGAGTGCATTTAAAATTCAGGCAGTTTTCCTCTCTGTCTCTCCAACGAGCATAAGCACCCTATAGGAAAAATCTCTCTCAAAAATAAATAAAAACAAACAAAACAAACAAATAAATAAAAAGAAATTCAGGCAGTTTTCAACTATGCTCCCCACCTTTTACTTTCCACCAGGCCCTATTGGATCTCCCCTACATATTCACATAACTTTGTCATCAGTCATGACCCTGTGGAGGGCTTATCTTTCTCTTTAGCCCTAACCAAAGCTGCAGCCTGAGACTAGTATAGCTGCTGACTTTCCATGTTTGTTTTTATCAAGTTTGCTACTTTCACTGACAACACTTTGTGTGGGTTTTTCACCCTTTGCTCCAAATTTACCTCCTCCTGCAGTGAAGCTGCTGTTTTTCACAGCCAGCTCGTCCTGGAAAAACTTTCCTATCAACTGTGCAGGAGATGAGGGTTATGAGAACAATTCCAAGAGGACACTACAGATCGCCAGTGTTCTTAACCTAAATTCAACTGGTTTTCATGGATAAACAATTTTCAACTTTCAGTGCCTCTGAGCACTGAAAAGGTTGTTTTTCATGATTTTGTCCAGTTTAAGTTTTTGCAACTGTTTTTTTTTTTAATAACAGAGTATGTACACACAGAGAGAGAATGCAAAACAGCACCTTACCCTAATCCCTAAACTGTAATCCTAACAATCATATATGAATATTTTTCTATAAATACTTAAAACCAAACTAATTTTTCTTTCTTTTAAAACTAAACCAGAGATGGACTTCTGACTATGGCAGCAAGGCTGGCAAATCTACTAAAAAAAAAAAATCCTTATATTCCAGTCTTGGTGTTGCAACCTATACTGTGGGTTCAGATCCCAAGTTGGCCTGAAAATACACGAGGTGTGCATGTAGGTGTCTAATATCCTCAGAAGCTGAAAGGCTAAGAAAAGAGAATTATGGTGTGAGAAGAATCTGTCATGGGTGCTTTTTGCACAGCACTTTAAGAAGTCATTACTAATTAGTCAGTATGAGAAGAAATTCATCTATCATTCATGTCCATTACCTTTGCTATAAATAGGAATATAATTTTGACTCCCAGCTTCTTAGCAAATAAAGCAGAGCTATGAACAGGGTTATTACCAATTTCCTTTTTTTAGAAAATTACATGTATGTCATCTGTCCACTTAAATATTGGAATCTTTAGTGCTTATCAATTTGCATGGGCTCTTTAGTAATCAGGATATTACTTGATATACATATAGTTATTGGATTATAGAGGCTTAAACTCATGCTTCATGGATGGGAGAAAGGAAGGACACTTAGGATAGCCCAATCATATTTTTATAATCATCTACTTGAGACTCAGTTAAATGGTGGAGAAAAGGAAGAAGGAAAGGGTGGTAGCAGTGAGCCAGAGGAAAGACTATGAGCAAGTATAGGGCTCAGCTGCTGTAGTGCAGTAGTAACAACACTAGAAGCCATACAGTGACCACAGTTCAGCTCCCAGATTGACCTGAAAAACACACTGGGTGTGCACGCTGGCACTTAAGATCCTGAAAAGCTGGAGAGCTTGGGGAAGGGAGATTATGACATGATGAGATTCTGATGAGGGTGCTTTCTCTCTGCCTCTTTCTGTCTCTTGTGCACATATACACATTTGCTATCATTCATATGTACATAAATATATATGTGCATATATATTATATATATTCTATGTATATATGCACATATATGTGTGAGAACATATATATGGAGAGAGAGAGAGAAAGAGAATATATATATGGAGAGAGAGAGAGAAAGCACCCTCATGAGAATCTCATCATGCCATGATCTCCCTTCCCCAGCACTCCTGCTTGTGTGCGTGTGTGCGCGTGTGTACGTGTGTGTGTGTGTGTGTGTGTGTGTGTGTGTATACGCGATGGCCACTGCTGGCCTAAGAATCTAACCCTAACTATAACCCATTCTGGTGTAGAATATTTAGAATACAGGATATTGGGGCCAGCAGGTGGTGTGGTGGTTAAGGCACTGGCCAATGGCGTGTGAATCCCAGACCTGGCAGCTTGCTTTCTCATTGCTCCCACTACCACCTCTGGTGAGTGCACATGCCCTATAGTAAATAATAATAATAATAAATAAAATTGAATAATTTTTTTAAAAACAAGAATATAGAATATTGTATATATTCTTAAAAGGATTGTGACAGAGGCTAAAATGCATGATGATAGGTAATATCTAATAAAGAAGATCAAATTAGATATATTAAAGCATGTTTTGCCAGTTCAGCTTGTAAGAGGCAAAAAAGTTATTTTTGAATACCGTTTTAAATGTTCTGTAGCTTTTGTTTTATCTTTTTATCTTTTTTAAGTTTTGGTTAGTTGATTTCTGTTCAATTTTATTAGATTTTTCTTTTTTTTTTAAATTCTCAATTACATTATCTTTATTAACAAAAGATAAAATACAAAATAGACACCAGTGTCAGACTATATTGAACCATCCTATGTGAAGGTAGGTATACAAAAACAAATTTTTGACATTCTTAAAGTGGGTATGTGTTTGCTATTTTAACTTCATGTTAGTTTGAATCTAGACACCACATATATCCATAGTACTTGAGAACTTGTCTCAGTTGCTCTTCCTCCCCACAATTTCTGAGATACAAGTACAAATCTTAGGAAACTAGCCTATATAATAAAATTAGCAATAAAAAATATACCAAGGCTGAGCATACACATCAGCATGTACAAATTACAAGGAAGACAGATTCCACAGATTAAGTACAGGCAAATTACAAAAAATAAAATAAAATAAAAAAAGACAACCAACATCACCACCCTCCTTGGGGGGAAAGTAAAAATTGAGTCTATAACATATTATCAAAAATTTATAGTTTTCAAAAAAAAAAAAGATGAGACATGTGAAGAAAAGAATGGTCCATATTTGAGAAAAAAATAGTAAATAGAAACTAATGTTGAGTGAGCCCATATGTGGATTTAGCAGACAAAAACTTCAAGGCAGCAATTACTAAAATATTCAAACATTAAAGAATGTTAAAGAATCAGTGGAAAATATGATGATGATGACAATAAGGGATTCTCAACAATGAAATAGACTGTAAAAAAAAAAAAAAACATTTAGAAAGTTTACAGTTGATACTTTGCATATACACCTGCATTTGACAGAAGTATAACTATATACTTTTGAAAATATGGGTCAGCACTTAAAAAATACTTAAGGATGTTTTTAACATCTGAGTTATAGCATGATTAGTAAGTTACACTTTGTAAGCTTTGTGATAACCTTTGAATAAAGGTAAAGATGGCTTTTCTTTTCCTACTGAACTAATCAAAGATATGTTAATTAATTTTTAAATGGAACTGCTTACAACTAGGTAACATTTTTCAACATGGTGTAAAATTAAAGTAACCTCAAGTTGATGCTATGTTGATAGCCACACTTTGGGAATTGTTTAGAGTTTTATTTTATTTTCATGGTTAGTTTTCAGTGTCTACAAAGAATGCTTCTAGAACATTTCAAGTTTAGTATTTTTAAATGATTAATAAAATATTTTATACCACATATCCCCTCTTATGCTATGATAAATAAATAATTTTAATACTACTAATAGTTAATTGAGTTATAATACTCATATATTACAAAACTTGTGCCTATATGCATACAATATATTATTACCAAGCACATTTTCATATAAATAACATAATGGCAACTGGGTCTAGTAAGAATCTTTTATTTTTTTTTTTAAGAGAGATTTTTGCTATAGCACACATGCACTCAACACATAGAGAAAGACAAACAGAAAGTAAGACATCACCCTCCAAGGGGATGGCCACGTCTCAATCCCTTGTCCCCCATTCTCTTCTCAGGATCCTGGGCATGCACATATATGCACCCAGCTTGAGTTTTAAGTCACCAGGCCCAGGACTTGAAATGCAGTCAACTATGTGAGGGTCCAGTAACCTATCCATTACACCATCTGCTGGTCCCAGAATCAATTTTTTTTAATTTAGATTTTCTCACTTACTGGATAGCTACTTTAAATTAAAAAGTCTAAGTGAATTTTGCTGGTTAGAATCTTTGTATTATCAGAATTATTGTATCATTTAATAAACTTCTTCCTCATTTTTACTGAGGACAACACACAATACAGAACCACTGGTTCTCCTAAGCTGGATTGTGATGCTGCAGTAAAATGTTACGCTGCGTGATGCAGACCAATATGGGGAGGTTCTGGGTTTGCCTCTACAGACTTCCCTGAGTATGGGCATACATGTGCCCATAATCCTGGGTTTAGACTGCAGCATAAAGACCCTGTTAGGGGTGCTAGCTTTCTGTCTCTGTCACGCTAGCTTATAAAAGAAATATAAGTAAAACTTAAAAAAATTCTTTTAAAAACCCACTAGTAGTTCTCCAGATATCTCTTAAAATTGTATACCAGTTTTCTACCTAATATTACAACTATGCATTTCTCAGCCTAACGTTATTACTAGAGGAACAAGTAAACTGCCCACTACTTGATATAAAGCATTATACTATTTAACATTAATACAGCTATCAAAGATAATGTTAATAATCAAAATAGAAAAAATATACTCACTCAGTTATAAAGTCAGGGTTTGTAAAGCTGAGGTTGGTTAAATGACTTTCAAGTTTAGAAGACTCATGCATATTTAAGGCTGGAGTGGTCTTAGTAGCAAGTACAGCTCTTTTTTCATCTTTCTCAAGTGCTTTTCTCTTTCCACCATTTTGGAAATATTCTCTGCATACACTACAAGTCAAAATAAAGTTACATTTTAAAATACCGGGTATGACTATAAAATAAAATGGAAAACATTAGCTTTTATTAATCAAGATGGGAAACTTTCAAATTAAAGCTTTCTATTTTTAAAATGTCTAACAGAGATAAGTGTATCTTATATCTTATATTTTTAAAAATTACCATACAATAAAGAATGGTTATAGATTAGATTTAATAAGTTAAAATGTGTTTTTCAGGAGTACATATATACCTAAATTGAACTTAACTAAAACTGCATTGCTCCATAGTTAACTCTGCTATTTGATGACAGTAGTGAGAAAGTAATGAAAAAGAATAATCAGTTAATTTTGAGCCAACTTTGACGGTAGTAGACAGACAACCCAACAGCTGCTTTAGAGGTCCCTCCTGGCTTAGGATAACAAAATCAGACTGTCAACATATTAAGAGGTAACTTTTCTGGAAGACAGACATAACAATCTAGTTCAGGTAAAAATGGTATCGTATCACAAAGGATAAGTTAAAAGAATACACAAGTTTAAACATAACTGTGGTTTTATAACACTTGGAAATTATTCCTGGACACCAGGAGACCAATTTTACTTGTCCTAATTCTTATAAAACTAAAATGAAGATATTTCAAGACATACCATTTAAGCCCATATAGTTAAACCCATATCAGGTTTCTACCTAGAATCAGAAATCGATGGCTGGCATATATTTATTGAACAGTTTTCTTACTATTTAAAACAGAACTAATCACAGGGTGAATACAGTAGGACATCAAATATGGGTGTATAACAGGACTACAAAAGGCACCATAGAATCACCTTTAATGTTTATTAGCTATTAAAGCCAAAAATCTTATAGGAAAAGACTAGTTATACCTAGCTCTAGTGCTTTCAATCTAACAGGAGATACAGATTTAAAAATAATTAACTGATATATTTATCAAAGCTCTTTAAACTGAACTAGGGAGAAATGTTCACCTGCTGAAATATTCATTTTGTAAGCTAAATAATGTGATTTAATGTATGAAAGAAAATGAAATAAAAAAATATGATTTAGAGATAAAAAAGTTTCAGGGAAAAAAAGCTCTTTAAAGTAAAGAAAGACTAAATCTAAACAAATTTTCTTTCTTTCCAGATTCCTAAAATAAACCAATTATGTATAGCTTATACTTTAAACAAAGCTAGACTACTTTTCTCTACAGACACTGCTTGGTAAGGTACTAGAAACACAAGGCAAAGTAAGTATAAAGCAAAGACAGAAGAATTCTTTTAAAACTTATTTCAGAAGTTTGAGCCTCTGGGAGAAGAAAGGAACTGAGTTCTAAAGTCTGTATCACCTTGCACCAGTCTGCAGCGCCCTTATCACCAGAGGCGGAGCCAGAAGTGCTATAGTTCGACCGGACCATCTGTTCGGAAGGAGCGAGCTGTTTTCATCCCCACCCTGCAACATCTCCTAGTCTCCCCCTTCACCTGGAGGCAAAAACTCCCAGTCAGGACAGTGTGGTGCAAACTAAGTCCCTGAACCAGTAAGAAGAGCCATGTCCTACCTCAGCCATGGAATGGAGCCCATGGCTCCAGCTCTAACAGGGGAAGACTTAACTGAAGTGAAGAAAGATGTGTAAAATTTGTGTGTATCTGTGTGAGAAGATAATAGTTGAGAGACATTGTGATCATCTATGAGCAAAGAAAAATACTCAGTAGAGAAGACATTGAAAGAAATTTCCTGCCAAACACCAAGTCAAAAAGGACTGGAAAATTGTTAGACTACATACAAGAAAACTCCAAAGGACTAGCTAGACGCCCTCGTTGAATTGATTTGGAAAGAAAAGAAACAACTTTCTTATACAGAAGATTCCAGATGAACTGCTGAAACTTAGAAATATAAAACTAGAACATCTGAGGGAACCAGCAGTGAGCGTAATGGCTATGTGGCTGGACTCCCACGTAGTCGACCATGGTTCGCGTCCCGGATACAGTGGCTTAGAACTCACACCGGGCACGTGTGCGTGCGTGCCCAAGATCCTGAGAGGAGAATGGAGGAGAAGGGATTGCAGCGTGACCATCCCCCCTGGGGGGTGATTTCTCGCTTTCTTTCTCTATGTCTCTCTCTGTCTGGCGAGCGCACACGCCCTATAGCGAAGACCTCTGAAAAACAAAACAAAACAAAACAAGCAAACAAAAAACCTAGAACATCTGAAAGGATTGTAATGTAGCAGTTGTGAGCCTTTCCAGATGGAGCCATAAATAACCTCTCTAGATCAAATTTAAAAGAATAGTTTCTCTGAAAACTGAGTGTGTCCACTGTCATGTATCTATTTGAGACTAGAGTCTTAGGCTGGGAACAATGTTTCTTAGCATTTGTACTAGAATTTTTCAGAGTCCTGTAGTCCTTTCCAAACAGTTGGCAGTAAATGTTTAGCATTAAGCTTTTCTTACTTGGTAATAAAGCCAGTAACTGATAGAAAAACTGCCAATATACTGGGAATATCTTTTTCCCACTCAGTTGGTCATACAGGAGCTCCTGGTGTTAGAGGCACACCTGATAAAATATGATCCACCTAAGATTTCAATTTGCCAAAATTCATTCTTTAATAACCTCACTACTTAGATTTTTATATTTTTTGCCTTATCATTTTGATTCTTAATAATATTTTGATATTAATCATAGTTGTTACATGTAATTTGATGAGATTTTAGGAGATACTCTGTGCTTTTTCATTCTCTCTTAATGAAGACCACTGTACCATTGAAATCACGTAAACGGATTGCTACTGGTATATGTACCAATCTTGTTTTTAATACCATTTGAAACAACTGGGCCGTTAACCATATTTTGTTGTATAAAAAAGTTTGATTGCTTTTATGCATTTATAACTGTTTTCACTTAAATTATAATTCTGCCTGTTTCCTGATGGCCATCTCCTATATTTTTGTAATACTTGCAAAAAAGCAGAAATGAAAATTTACTACTAACAATAAATGTTTTTATAAGTTGAAAAAATATAAAAAAACAACCTCCTTTCAGCAAGTAGAACCATGATCTGAAGGAAGAATGCTCATTTTGCTTTCATACTTACAGGATGCTACTAACTCAATTTCAGTTTTTTCATTATCATCATAATACATATGATCTTCTCCCCTCTTACTCTTTAGTCATTATACTTATTTGACCATTAATTCTAATATACTGTCCTGTTGATTCACTATCTCATTCTCTAAGAAAATTGTTTAATTGCTACTTTATGCCTTGACTATTATAGGAGTCTCCTAACTAGATTCCCTGCTGCTCCTAAAACAAGCTAGCATGTTTCTGCCTCACAGATTTTGGACTTCTTAGTACTGGCTTTTTTCCTTACTTCCTTTTGTCTTTTGTCCATCACTTCAGTGAGACCTTCTTCTTTCTCTACCTTACTTAAAATTGTTTTATTGTTCCTTTTTTTTTTTTTTCATGGCACTGACCATTACCTGACTTAGTATATATCTGATTAATATACTGCTTCTTGCCTCTCATCCCCACTAGTATATATGCTCCATGGGAGAAAGGATTTTTGACGCTAGGTTGATTTTATATTTCCAGTGTCTATAATATAATTGGTACTAAGTAGACAATCACTAAATACTATTTATTAAGTGAATTAATTTAAAAACTTAAGTTCACATTTTTCTGTGGTTATTTGATGAATGAATAAAATATGCATAATTACAAACTTTTAAAAAGTTTACTTCTTCCATGAGCAAGCAAGACAGAGTGGGAGAGAGAGACCCAACATCTCAGTACCTCCAACAGAGTCTTAACATGTGATCTACCTCTAGCCTTCAGCCAGTCCTGGACCCTGAGCAAACATGTACCTGATATACTCAGGGAGTTCCTAGCCTTGAACTGAAAACCTTCCCCTGTGAGATTGCTTCAAAGACTGTTGGGTCTTACAGCTATATGATGACCATTGGGTCCTCAATATCACATAATTTCAAATGAAATTAAACCAGAAAATTTGAAGGGAAAAAACAACTAAAAGAAAATATAAGATGAAAGTTATCACAAATTCTTTTCCCCAAAAAAGATCATACTTTGTTTCTGGGAACTCCTTTTTTAATTCAGTCAATATCATACTCTTTTTTATAATTTTACCACATTGACAGAACTGAATTAACAGTATTTCACTTTCGGGACCAGCAGTTGGCATAATGGCTATGTCGCTGGACTCCCATGTAGCTGACTGTGGTTTGAGTCCTGGACCTGGTGGCTTGCCAGGCACATGTGCGTGCATGCCCAAGATCCCAAGAGGAGAATGAGGGAAAAGGGATTGTGGTGTAGCCATTCCCCCTGGGGGGAGTGATTTCTCACTTTCTGTCTCTCTGTCTCTGTCTTCCTGGCAAGTGCATGTGGCCTATAGCAAAAACTTCTCCATAAACAAAAAACAGTATTTCATTTTCTGATGATTTTTAAAACTTTTTAATTAATTGCCAGAGAAAATATGCTCACCAAAGAGAGACAGAGAGAAAGAGAGGGAGAAAGTACCCCTGTGGAATGTGATCAGGCTTCACTGTTTCTCCATCTCGTGAGATTTGGGGCATGCATGCACATACATACCTGGTATATGTCAAGCCACTAATGCTAGAACTTGAACTGCACAGTCAGTAATGTGGGATCTGACTCCCTTAATCATTGTAATGGGGCTGGCCCAACAAGTTGTTTAAAAGACATTATTTCTCGGGACCAGCAGTTAGCGTAATGGCCAAGTCGCTGAACTCCCATGTAGCCAACTGCAGTTCGAGCCCCGGACCTGGTGGCTTGAACTCACACCAGGTGCGTGTGCATGCGTGCCCAAGATCCCAAGAGGAGAATGGAGGAGAAGGGATTGCAGTGTGGCCATCCCCCCTGGGGGGTGATTTCTCGCTTTCTATCTCTCTGTCTCTCTCTCTGTCTTTCTGGTGAGCGCACACACCCTATAGCAAAAACCTCTCCTAAATAAATAAATAAGTAAATAAATAAATAAAGACATTATTTCTTATATAATATTTCTGGTTTTCCACTTTGGTACAATGAATTATACCAAGCATTATTTAGATTTAAGAGTTTAAATACATTAGAAACCAAAACTGTCAGTTCATAAAAATACTCACCTACAACACCATTCAATACGACCTTCACCCTCACAAGTTTTTGCCCAATGATTATCTGCCAAATTTTTCATTGCAACAGCATATTCACAAAGTGTTTCCTCATCCTCACAGTGTTCTCGCCAGATCTTATCAAAATCTCCCACTAAAAACAAGAAAAAAGAATTAAACAGGTCAAGCTCTTGAAAATTCAGCTTAACTGAAGTGAAGAAAGATGTGTAAAATTTGTGTGTATCTGTGTGAGAAGATAATAGTTGAGAGACATTGTGATCATCTATGAGCAAAGAAAAATACTCAGTAGAGAAGACATTGAAAGAAATTTCCTGCCAAACACCAAGTCAAAAAGGACTGGAAAATTGTTAGACTACATACAAGAAAACTCCAAAGGACTAGCTAGACGCCCTCGTTGAATTGATTTGGAAAGAAAAGAAACAACTTTCTTATACAGAAGATTCCAGATGAACTGCTGAAACTTAGAAATATAAAACTAGAACATCTGAGGGAACCAGCAGTGAGCGTAATGGCTATGTGGCTGGACTCCCACGTAGTCGACCATGGTTCGCGTCCCGGATACAGTGGCTTAGAACTCACACCGGGCACGTGTGCGTGCGTGCCCAAGATCCTGAGAGGAGAATGGAGGAGAAGGGATTGCAGCGTGACCATCCCCCCTGGGGGGTGATTTCTCGCTTTCTTTCTCTATGTCTCTCTCTGTCTGGCGAGCGCACACGCCCTATAGCGAAGACCTCTGAAAAACAAAACAAAACAAAACAAGCAAACAAAAAACCTAGAACATCTGAAAGGATTGTAATGTAGCAGTTGTGAGCCTTTCCAGATGGAGCCATAAATAACCTCTCTAGATCAAATTTAAAAGAATAGTTTCTCTGAAAACTGAGTGTGTCCACTGTCATGTATCTATTTGAGACTAGAGTCTTAGGCTGGGAACAATGTTTCTTAGCATTTGTACTAGAATTTTTCAGAGTCCTGTAGTCCTTTCCAAACAGTTGGCAGTAAATGTTTAGCATTAAGCTTTTCTTACTTGGTAATAAAGCCAGTAACTGATAGAAAAACTGCCAATATACTGGGAATATCTTTTTCCCACTCAGTTGGTCATACAGGAGCTCCTGGTGTTAGAGGCACACCTGATAAAATATGATCCACCTAAGATTTCAATTTGCCAAAATTCATTCTTTAATAACCTCACTACTTAGATTTTTATATTTTTTGCCTTATCATTTTGATTCTTAATAATATTTTGATATTAATCATAGTTGTTACATGTAATTTGATGAGATTTTAGGAGATACTCTGTGCTTTTTCATTCTCTCTTAATGAAGACCACTGTACCATTGAAATCACGTAAACGGATTGCTACTGGTATATGTACCAATCTTGTTTTTAATACCATTTGAAACAACTGGGCCGTTAACCATATTTTGTTGTATAAAAAAGTTTGATTGCTTTTATGCATTTATAACTGTTTTCACTTAAATTATAATTCTGCCTGTTTCCTGATGGCCATCTCCTATATTTTTGTAATACTTGCAAAAAAGCAGAAATGAAAATTTACTACTAACAATAAATGTTTTTATAAGTTGAAAAAATATAAAAAAACAACCTCCTTTCAGCAAGTAGAACCATGATCTGAAGGAAGAATGCTCATTTTGCTTTCATACTTACAGGATGCTACTAACTCAATTTCAGTTTTTTCATTATCATCATAATACATATGATCTTCTCCCCTCTTACTCTTTAGTCATTATACTTATTTGACCATTAATTCTAATATACTGTCCTGTTGATTCACTATCTCATTCTCTAAGAAAATTGTTTAATTGCTACTTTATGCCTTGACTATTATAGGAGTCTCCTAACTAGATTCCCTGCTGCTCCTAAAACAAGCTAGCATGTTTCTGCCTCACAGATTTTGGACTTCTTAGTACTGGCTTTTTTCCTTACTTCCTTTTGTCTTTTGTCCATCACTTCAGTGAGACCTTCTTCTTTCTCTACCTTACTTAAAATTGTTTTATTGTTCCTTTTTTTTTTTTTTTCATGGCACTGACCATTACCTGACTTAGTATATATCTGATTAATATACTGCTTCTTGCCTCTCATCCCCACTAGTATATATGCTCCATGGGAGAAAGGATTTTTGACGCTAGGTTGATTTTATATTTCCAGTGTCTATAATATAATTGGTACTAAGTAGACAATCACTAAATACTATTTATTAAGTGAATTAATTTAAAAACTTAAGTTCACATTTTTCTGTGGTTATTTGATGAATGAATAAAATATGCATAATTACAAACTTTTAAAAAGTTTACTTCTTCCATGAGCAAGCAAGACAGAGTGGGAGAGAGAGACCCAACATCTCAGTACCTCCAACAGAGTCTTAACATGTGATCTACCTCTAGCCTTCAGCCAGTCCTGGACCCTGAGCAAACATGTACCTGATATACTCAGGGAGTTCCTAGCCTTGAACTGAAAACCTTCCCCTGTGAGATTGCTTCAAAGACTGTTGGGTCTTACAGCTATATGATGACCATTGGGTCCTCAATATCACATAATTTCAAATGAAATTAAACCAGAAAATTTGAAGGGAAAAAACAACTAAAAGAAAATATAAGATGAAAGTTATCACAAATTCTTTTCCCCAAAAAAGATCATACTTTGTTTCTGGGAACTCCTTTTTTAATTCAGTCAATATCATACTCTTTTTTATAATTTTACCACATTGACAGAACTGAATTAACAGTATTTCACTTTCGGGACCAGCAGTTGGCATAATGGCTATGTCGCTGGACTCCCATGTAGCTGACTGTGGTTTGAGTCCTGGACCTGGTGGCTTGCCAGGCACATGTGCGTGCATGCCCAAGATCCCAAGAGGAGAATGAGGGAAAAGGGATTGTGGTGTAGCCATTCCCCCTGGGGGGAGTGATTTCTCACTTTCTGTCTCTCTGTCTCTGTCTTCCTGGCAAGTGCATGTGGCCTATAGCAAAAACTTCTCCATAAACAAAAAACAGTATTTCATTTTCTGATGATTTTTAAAACTTTTTAATTAATTGCCAGAGAAAATATGCTCACCAAAGAGAGACAGAGAGAAAGAGAGGGAGAAAGTACCCCTGTGGAATGTGATCAGGCTTCACTGTTTCTCCATCTCGTGAGATTTGGGGCATGCATGCACATACATACCTGGTATATGTCAAGCCACTAATGCTAGAACTTGAACTGCACAGTCAGTAATGTGGGATCTGACTCCCTTAATCATTGTAATGGGGCTGGCCCAACAAGTTGTTTAAAAGACATTATTTCTCGGGACCAGCAGTTAGCGTAATGGCCAAGTCGCTGAACTCCCATGTAGCCAACTGCAGTTCGAGCCCCGGACCTGGTGGCTTGAACTCACACCAGGTGCGTGTGCATGCGTGCCCAAGATCCCAAGAGGAGAATGGAGGAGAAGGGATTGCAGTGTGGCCATCCCCCCTGGGGGGTGATTTCTCGCTTTCTATCTCTCTGTCTCTCTCTCTGTCTTTCTGGTGAGCGCACACACCCTATAGCAAAAACCTCTCCTAAATAAATAAATAAGTAAATAAATAAATAAAGACATTATTTCTTATATAATATTTCTGGTTTTCCACTTTGGTACAATGAATTATACCAAGCATTATTTAGATTTAAGAGTTTAAATACATTAGAAACCAAAACTGTCAGTTCATAAAAATACTCACCTACAACACCATTCAATACGACCTTCACCCTCACAAGTTTTTGCCCAATGATTATCTGCCAAATTTTTCATTGCAACAGCATATTCACAAAGTGTTTCCTCATCCTCACAGTGTTCTCGCCAGATCTTATCAAAATCTCCCACTAAAAACAAGAAAAAAGAATTAAACAGGTCAAGCTCTTGAAAATTCAGCATAATCTTGAATTAAAGATGAGAATAAGTGATATGATGTAAAACTTCATAAAGTTTTAAACATTTTAAAACCTTCTTTGTGCAAATGAATGCATCATTTTAAATATGATGACTTGATAATCAAAATTTATCACTAAGTGTGAAGGTGAGAAAACTAAGAAAACAGAAGTAAACACATATGAATTATCAGTTCATAAACCAAAGACATGCTGGCAGAGGACAATTATGGCTGGCATTCAATCTTTAATTTTCCTTCTACCATTGAGCAATCTGACCTTGCATGTGCAGAGTAAAAACACTAAAGCCTGCTTCTTGTTTATTATTTTTTTCGACCTCTACATACTTATCAGTTACCTTCATTAAAAAGGGGTTGATAGGTGAGACAACAACATAAATTAGTAAATGAGTAAATACTTTTACTTACACACTTGGACTTGCTCTAAGTAGACTATAAAAAATTAAAATCCAGTCAGCCACAGTGCAGCAGTGGTAAGGCAATGCTCTGGGATGCTAATGCCATATAAGAAGGTCCCAGGTTTATGCCTCAAGAGCTGACTGTATACACCAGACATTCAGGTGTGCCTGTGATTTTGGTTGGTTAAGGCTAAAGGAAGGATCTAGCTATGACGACCTGTTGGAGGTGGTTTCTCTTTCTTTCTCTAATGGAAGAAATAAATAAACAAGCAAACAAAAAGCAAGGTTAAGGTTGATCAGTATTCAGTATACGTATTAAAACCCCTCTGCTCACTTGGTCAAACCACAAACACAAAAAATATGTTAAAAACCTCTTCTAAGGATTTTTGGTTATCACTTACTTATTAGTATTAGGTCAATTGATATTTATAAGACAATTAAAAAGACAACTCTTCATTATTAAAAGGCAAATCTGAGAATAGACCTTAGTGAGTTCTGTGTCAAAGGTCTAGTCAATACAGTAAAAGAAATGTTTAAGTATTCTAAAGTGCAATAAATCAGCATTCTCAATTAATAATTAGCCTTATGATTTATTTTAATATAATGGCATTTGTGAATGACTCAAAATCCTTGTGATTAATGACTCTCTCTTGCTCATTTTTTTATAGGCATCCTAAAAAAAATGAATATCTTAAAGAAAGGTGTGGATGGAGAGGGGGGGGGGAAACTGCATTGGGCATACACATTTTAGTATGCCCAACTACAGAAATTCAAAAACTATTTTCAGAAAGCACAATTAACAAATATATGCCTTGCAGCCTAATAAACATTAATAATTAATAAATATTTTATGCTCAAACTAAATAACTTCAGAGAAGAATTTGGTAATCACTTGTTCACATATACAATTACTTTTTTCTTAGATAGATTTTTGTTATAGGGTGTGTGCCCTTGCCAGAAAGACAGCAATTGAGAAATTATCCTCCCATGGAAGATGGCCATGCCACAATCCTTTCTCCTCCATTCTCCTTTCGGGATTTTGGGCATGCATGCCCACAAGGCTGGCATGAGTTTTAAGTCGCTGGGTCCGGGACTCAACCCGCGGTCAACTACATGAGAGTTCAGCAACATAACCATTACACTATCTGTTTCCCCACACACAATTTTAAAATTGAATTAAAACTCTGCCTCTTCTAAAAGATAAAATTACTTGAGTGTCTTATAATTCTAGAACAAAGTTCACATCAACCTGACTTCTATTCATTATGTTCCATTTATATTTAAATTTCTTAAAACACTCACTTGAAAATACAATCCATAATTTTAAACATGAGTGATACCAACTTAAAAGTGCTAAACCAAGTTCAATATGGAAATCAATAGACCAAATTATTCTGAATCTTTGTCCTATATTACCATATAGGCCAGCTGGTGGCATGGTGATTAAGATAGCTAGATTCCACATGGCCAACTACACAGTTCAAATCCTGGACCCAGTGGCATAAAAAACACACCGAATATATATGCGGGCCTACTTAAAATCCTGAGAGGAAGATGAAGGAGAAGGGACTGTGGTATGGACATCCTTCTTACTCTCACCAGTGAATGTATGTGACTAACAGCAAACTAAAAAACACAAAACCCCATAATTATAGACCAAAGTCACTTTCACAAAAATAGTACGTCATTACTAAAAAATAAATAAATAAAAGTTACTGCTTAAAAATAAAGACAGCTAACTAGGAAAAAATAAATATTACATCAATTTTTAAAAAATTCACTTTTATCAATTTTATCATTAAAATACTATTACTTTGAGTTCACTATCTATGTATAAGTACAAGTATAATGAAATGAGTTAAGGAGTCATCTGTTTTTGCTCTCACTTAATACCTAAGAGCAGCTCTATATAGTTTTTAACTCAAGTGAACCACTGTAGCCCTCAAATCTCTCTTCAGAATTGACACTATTCTTTCCTTATGAACAACTTCTCTCCTGGATCTGGTGTAACAAATTTCTTTCCTTTAAGACATAACTAAATTCATATTTTCTTCAAGAAGGTTTATCTGCCTCTTATTTGATCATCTTACTACTCAATCCATATTTGCATCCATCATCCTTATGATTCTTTGACACTCACTTATGTATATTATCTGTTAAGACCAGGTGTAATTTTCCAAATAGAAAGTGTAAGTTGGAAGGGAAAGACTACTTTTGATTTCTAACTTGTAGAAATTACAGAAATTAATCTTGGTGCCCAGTTGACAGGGGGAATAAATGTTTACATTTTTACCATGCTCAAAAACTACAGAAATAACAAAATTATAAACAGATCAAATTAACTGTTAAAGTCAAATTCAAACTACAGTTAACAGCTGTTGACAGCTTTAACAATACTTCAATATAGTTACTATTCTCAAAATAGGTGTTACAGATGTAGATAAGCAGTAAGTTCCAAGTCATTTATCTACAAATTCCACTATTTAAAGCTGATTTTCAAAAATATTTTTTTTCTCTCCTTATTATTGTCAAAAGAAGAACACGTAGGTGAAAGTGTAGTCACATCTATTAAGTTCTCTAAATAAAGAACTGCTACATAGATCTTTTTAGAAAGTCTACAAACTTGGGACCAGCAGTTAACATAATGGTTATATTGCTGGACTCCCATGTAGTCAACCATGGTTCAAGTCCTGGACCTGGTGGCATAAACTCATGCTGGGCACATGTGTGTGCATGCCCAAGACCCAGAGAGGAGAATGAAGGAGAAGGGACTGTGGCATGGCCATCCCCCCATGGGGTGATTTCTCATTTTCTGTCTGTCTTTCTGGAGAGTACACGTGCCCTACAGCAAAAATCTCTCCAAAAAAAAAAAAAAAAAAAAGAAAGAAAGAAAAGAAAAGAAAGTCTACAAGCATAAAAAGAAATTACTGGTAACACTAAATAGATCAAAGTTACTTATATGTGAAAAAAAGGTGGTGTTAAAGTTCATACATTTTTGCATGCCAAGATCATTTGATGTTGTAAGATGTATTAGAAATAGTATTTTTTCTATAACTCTACTCTAGTCCTCATTTGTAAAAGAGATATAAAGCACAAAAGATTAGAAATTACATTTATTTACAAACCATATGTCTAATAAGGGGTTAATTTAAAAATTATGTAAGGAACTCATATACCTCAGTGGCAGAAAAAAAAGGAACAGATTAAAAATGTTCAAAAAACCTGAATAGCCATTTTTTTCCAAAAAGTACATATAAAAAGCCACTAGGGATATGAAAATTTCCTCAACATCACTATTATTAGGGAAATGCAACTTAAAACCACAATAAAATACCACCTTACGCCTTTAGGATGACTAACGCATTGCTGGGATGTGAAGAAAAGAAACTCTTGGAACACTCCTATGTTCATTGCAGTATTACTCAAAATAGCTAAGCTATGAAAACAATCTACTTTTGACTTATAATTATGTAAGTTAATCATGATGTCTAGTTAATGAAACAATGAATTAATGGATACAGAGGTCATTGTATATGTGTGTTTTGAGTGTGTGTACAGAAAAACACAATGTAGTATTATTAAATCTTAAAAAAGATGTGGAAGGACTTGGAGGACATTATGCTAAGTGAAATATGCCAGACATAAAAAGACATGATAGTAATAATTATATATATATATATATATATATATA